AGAATATTTTTGGATAAACGAAGATTAATCAACGACAAAGCCTTATGGTCCCTCTGTTGTCCAATTAGCTGGCATTTTCTCAAAACCCAGCAACACATAATCCAAATTCAATTGCACCAAAATAGCTCTCATCTTTAATTGCCATAAAGAAAATCTTGTATTGCGATCCAGCAGTGGAATGACATACTTCATAGTAGTCATCTCTGAAAAAACCTCAACCAATCCCCAGAAGAAGAACCAAACTCTAATACCACTTGTTGGACCCTGAAGGATTGTAATGAACGAGATTAATGACGTGATATGAAGAAATGAAGATCGCAACGAGAAACAAGATTTAAAAGTAAAGAAATTTATAAAGAGAGTTAATCGCAGAAGCACAACGTGTTATTAATCGACAATATGGAGAGAAATACAAAAACTCAGTAATTCTTGCTTGAACAAAACTGAAAGAGAATACTACTATTTATAGGTACATAACATAGCATAAAGATGGAAATAATATGGAATAAAGAAATAATATATTTTCTAAAAATCACGAGAAATATAAGGAAACAAATTTTTCCACATGAAAATAATGAAACAATTTATTTCAAAAAAAAAAAATCGACCCTAATTTGGGTCACAAACCCAACAGGTTCGTACTGGAAGTTCCATCCTAGGTGGAATCTCAGTCAATGCCCTATCTCTGTTCATGTTGGCATATGATGAATTTATGAAAATGTATGGAAGATTCAAATGGAAGTGTGGATCGAGTTAACCACGTTGGTGAGAGATTTAACAATTGAATAGGCATCTCTTGAGAGGTGGAGATCATTGAGAAGATGATAAGATCATATTTCGTTAGGGGAAAATTGTGAGAGATGTGCAAATAAAATTTTAAAATTATCTAGATATGAAAATAGTGAAGAGTTTCTACTCCAAATAGATTTACATTTTAAGGTGCAAGTTGATACATAACAACAAATGTCTATATTTGATATTTGCGATGAAACTATTTTTCGGTTGAAATTTCACGAGCATGTAAGTTCGTGAAAAAGTAATATAAATATGAGTATCGTTTTTACGTGGATTTAGAGTTTAAGTATCTATGATTCTAATTAATTTATAATTATCTCTATTAACTAAGCGCAAAAGTAATTTTTAGAGAAGAGAAATCAATAATGAAAGTTGTGCTAGGAATCCGACTCCACCACAATTTCATTCTCAAACTATTGCTTTTAATTAAATTTATGCTTCAATTGATAATCAATAATCTTTAAGTTGTGTGTCTTCAATGGAATTTACAAGAAATCCTAATTCTACCTTGCTTGAAATCCCAAATTCTAACTAAAGATTCTTTAATTTGTGTATGGAACGTGTGTTTAAGTGTTTTTCTCTTCGAAATTCTCTCCTCTTTATTTTTTTTTTCAAGATGTAGAACCCTGTTTGAAGCCTCCAAAATTAAGGTAAATTCGTACACAAATTGAGGTAACCCTGGTGGAAATGAGTTGTGCTACCTACACAGGCTCTATTGCACAGAGCCTATACAGGTACACACACATGGGGTCCACATGTGGGGTCCACCCCCATGTGAGATACCTTGTACAGGCGTGTGCAGGCCTTTTCCGGTGGAAATTTTGTTGCCCTTGCGATTGAAAGGTAATTCCTTTTGATTCCTGTACAAATTGATCCCCGAGTTTTCCTATTGATTCGTCTCGAGTCCCTTTTATTTGTATCGTGGGATCCTTCATCTTTTAGATCTTAATACTTTGATCCCCACATTCCAAAATATGTTCATTTGTCATCTCTTTTTTTTTTTGTTAGATTTTCTGTTCCATTTCTTCACAAGCTATTCAACATCGAATTCCTAAAACTATTAATATACAAGTAGAATTAATTATCAAATCAATAAAAGTATTCTCAAACGTCCACTTTAGATGGTTCGAATAAGTGTAAAATTACAATTACCAATATTCGATCACTATTTGGTTGTTTGTCACAATTATCCAAGACTAGCAAATTCCTTATTGTTTATCATATATGGTATTTATTTTCACAGTTTTAAGTATCATAAAATTATTGTTTTTGATAACTGAACATATATTATGGGTGTTTTTGGGTGACATTTTTATGTAAAAATGCATTTTTAAATAGTAAATTGATGGAAAATGTGTGATTGAAAAATAAGGAAATTTTTTTTATTATTTTAATAAAGAATGTGTGGTTGAAAAGAAGAAAGAGAAAAATGCATTTTGAAAAAAATGGATACCAAATGGGTCCTATATATATATAATGCAGTCGTCTAAGCAAAGTTTAGCATATCTAATGCTGATCCACGCACTAAAATTAAAAGCTAAACAAGATGAGAGAAAAAGAAGTAATTACCACCTTAATTTCTCTCTCTATGTATATACACTACCGGCCGGTTTCCTAATAAAACAGATAAAGAAGGAAAAATATGTCGCAGCCTTGATAGCACTTATTAAACTCTAAATAAATAATAATAATAATAATAATAATAATAATAATAATAATAAGTAATGCTATGTAGCTCACTGGAGTTGTAACCCCAGTCTAAGTGACATCAGATGATAGATTAAATGAAAAATGAAATTAAACGAGTTATTTAATTCTACGTATCAATTAATGCCAAAGTAATGCTATGTAGCTCACTGGAGTTGTAACCCCAGTCTAAGTGACATCAGATGATAGATTAAATGAAAAATGAAATTAAACGAGTTATTTAATTCTACGTATCAATTAATGCCATATTAATACCACCTCAAACGGGGTTGTAACCCTAGTGAGATTAAATAGCATTACTCAAAAAAACTTGAAGTAGTTTCATCTATTAGGAGGAGATTCGACCTAAGTATCTTTTTGGCAAAATTTCTATATTATTTATGAATGATCAAATTTTATTTTTAATCATAAATTTCAATGTATTCCCAAATAATATTTATTTATTCACGCTTATTTCTATTTAAATTATTTATAAATTCTTTTCAAACAGAAGTTAACTTTCCAACCACCAAAACAGAACACATAACCATATGTATCAAGTCACCTAAACATAAAACAATTTTGCACCCCTCGGGGCATAGTCTAATGGTGCAAAGGACATGAGTAAGGTTATCTCACACTTTGCTAGCAGTCGAAGTGTGGGGGTTCGATTCCTGAAACATGGAATTGGACTCCTTGTAGGCGCAGTGTAAAGGCAGCTCTTTTTCCCTGACCTACTGGGACATATCCCGCGATTTACCTCCCTCACAAAGTTTTAGGGGCGGGACGGTGGGGGCCCTTAAGGTTGAGGTTCAACCTTTTTTTTTAATAAAACAATTTTGCTTTTTTTTTTTTTTTCTCAGGTTAGTTTTTGTCCTTCCAATTCAAGATGGTCCTTGTCAAGAGACAATAATTGCCATTGTACTCGAAGTTGAGGGACCAAGTCCTTGATTGATTCAACTACAAAAATAGATTAAGATTTAAGTTAAAATTAATTTTTAATTTTAATCATACATTTCATAAATTTATTTACTTTAAATCAATTAGGGGCGAAATAGTATTTATAATATAAAAATGCTATAAGTACAAATTTTTTCTAAAAAATTTGTACAGAAAAACAGTTGTCTTCATGTAATTGGCTATTGCCAAAAACAGTTTTGACAACAACAAATCGCAGAAAAATAATTATTTTTCTGTACCAATTTTATTAAAAAAAATCTGTACTTATAGATTAATTATTTATAATATGATGCATTACATGGCTTAATAATGACGGCTTGATTTTGAAGCCATGCACACGGTAAGAAGCCATGAAATATCCGTAACAGGAAGGTCTAAGGGCCTATGGGGGGAGGGTACGTGGACTTGTATTGTAGGTGACAGCTAATATGAATTCAGAAAGAGAGGAGATACACCTCGCACGAAAATAATATTTGATGGATAATGTGAGGGAAGATATAGAAAATGTAATATTTCGATACTAAACCCTGTTTGAGCTCTATTATTTTTCATTATATTAAATTAAATTTTTCTCTCT